TTCGTATATGCAATGTCCTGCAGAAGTATTCATGTCTTATACTTTTGTAATAATTTAAATAATTTAAAGTGGCAGGCTAGTGGTTAGGGCATAGAGCTTGGAATCCTGAGGTTCCGAGTTTGACCCCCACTCCCACAGACTGCCACTCTGGGTCGCTGAGCAAAGACCCTTAACCCCACACTGCTCCCTGGGTGCCCCATGATGGCAGCCCACTGCTCCCCAAGGGAATGGGTTAAATAAAGAGGTAAATTTCTCCAATGCGAGATCAATAAAGCTAAATTATTGTTTGTTTTGTACCAGAACCACAGACTTCAATGTATTTAATGTGAATGGCCGCTAGAAGTTCTGCAGTATTGTAAACTGAAAAGAGAATAGTCTGAAAAGTATAGAAAATTTGTTTTAACACCACCTTGTAGAACCCCCTGAGTTGTATGTATCTGCATTTCCTCCAGGATGACAAACACCTTGGCTGTTTCTTTGACTTATCCTCTTCACACCCGACCTACCAGTTTAGTCGGACAGTCATGTCTTGGTAGGTTTGCAGCTGTGCCATGCTGTTCCCACTTTTAGGTGGTGGATTCAACAGTGATCTGTAAGAAATTCAAAGCTCATGGTTCATATCATTACCCACCTGTATCCCTGACCTTTCTTCTGTGTTGCTCACTTTTCCCTTATGTTGTTCAACCTTGTCTGAAGAGCTGTATTCTCAATGAGGTTAAAGTAAATGCAGACGACTCTTACCAATACAGTATAGTAATGTTTATCAATCATTTAGTTGCACTGTATTTTACAGTATTATTAATACAAATAATGACCACAATTTTCATGGTTTCAGATCCCAGTTTTGCAGGAGTTTTGTAGTGATCCAACACATCACATCCCAACCTAAATACATTGGATTTTGTGGATGTAAATTAAACAGAAAACTCAGACTTTTCTCCTTTATTTGCTTTAAACCAGAATCTGCTTACAGTGCCCAAACACTTGTTACAATGATATTTGTGCCTAACATTGAGCTCTGCAGTTAGAAATAATGTATGCTGATTTTTCTTTTCTAAAATGCATCCACGATCTATCACTAAAGGGTAACTCTTTAAGTTCTTTTGGAAAAGCAGTGTAGGATCATGCCTAATCAGTATTCTGTCCAACGTAATGCGCTTACAGTTGCCTTCATATATCATGATCACCCCAAAATCTGCTTATGTATCAATGTTATAAGGTTTGTAACGCATTGTTAGACTTGTTTTGTGCTGTATGTTCGTCGTGTGTTTTGTTCTTTGCTCGTCTTTTATTCTTGAACAAAAGAAGCGCTGATGAGAGTCACCTGTGCTTATTGCTCTCTGTCCTTAATTTTTCATTGACAATGTCACTTGCTTGCTGAGTTTGCATCATGTGCAAATCATTTAACAAGTGTCAGTAAGATCTTCGGTTGCAAATTATATCTTAGAACTGTTTTCTTTGTGTCTTTATTAAACAACAACAAGAAAAAAAAAAGAAGAAATATAAAAAACAAGAATTAAAAAAAAAATCACAGCAGCCTTGCTTCGGTTCTTGAAGGGAAATTTGTTTGTTTTTATTTTCTCTAAACACAAACGGCCGTTCCCATTTGCACATGAAATTAATGATGTATTTATGCATTACTGATAATTTAATAGGAATGCCAAAACTGACCACCGAAGCCTAGAACATACAAATGGTATTTAATAGCATTGACAACTTAATAGCATTTATAACATGTAGTTAGCATTTTAGAGTTGTTTGTGAAGGATTATTTTTGGACGTTTATTTTCTTACATGTCGCATACAACGTAGTAGTGTATGTTTTTGTTTTTATTTTTGTTATACATCACTATTGCTTGCACTCTCTGCAATAGAATATGGGTATAAAATGCACTTATTTTGATTGAAAATGTTTGTCTGCTTATACAAAATCTACAGTACTTGATTGTATTGATAACACATCAATAAAAAGAGAGAAAAAAAATGTGTGTTTTGGTCTCATGCCTTGATTCTTTAATTTAGTGCTCATAGAAGATTTACATTTATGGGAATTAAAATTGGATATTTCAGGAGGTGAAACTAGTATATATGTGGGTATATGTTTACAGGATTTCTATCCATCCATTTTCCATCAGACTTTATCCCTACTGGGGTTGCAAGGGGTTCTGGTGCCTATCTGCAGCTGCCAATGGGCAAGAGGCAGGGTACACCCTGGACAGGCCGCTAGTCCATCACAGGGCAACACAAAGACATAAAGGACAAAAAAGCATTCACGCACACTGACACCTAAGGAGAATTTAGAGAAGCCAATTAAGCTAGCAGTCATTTTTTGGACTGTGGGAGGAAGCCGGAGTACCTGGAGAGAACCCATGCATGCTCAGGGATAACATGCAAACTCTATGCAGATAAACCCCAGGCTGGGAATTGAACACAAAACCTTAGTGCTGCAAAGAAGCAGTGCTTCCCACTGCTACACTGTGCAGCCTTTTCAGGTTTTATTACTATACATTTTTAATGATGTGGTTTACAGCTATTAAACACCTCAAAACTTGGTTTATTAGGAAATTAAACTATTGCATTAAATCATTTTTGGTTTGTTTTATTGTTTCAGAAATTAAAATAATTATTGGGATGATCGCTGACAAGCCTCGCTGAAACATGGTAATGGGAGGTTTAGTGGAAGGAAAAGAAATGCAGTAGGTAAAAAATGAACAACAGGAATCAGTGGAGATTGCAAAGATGATTTAGGATTTTGGGGGGAATTTACCTGGGGATTCAGTTCTTCAATTGGCCCCTTACACAAATCCTTAACATGGGCTAAGATGTTCTAAACTTTTCTTTTCAGGTCATAGTAAACATCGCATTAAAGTTGGATATAAAGAACCCCAAAGTGTGGAAAAAAGACAGACATGGACTGGCTTGAGGTCCAATGTGAAGTAACACTGTCTATAAACAGTTGCAAAGTCCTGTCATATGTCCTGTTTGTCCTCTGTGTTTTTATCAAGTCTGAAGTCTGCATCAAAAAGTTAGAGCATTTCATGTCTGCATCTCTTGATAAACAATATTGAGATGCTAACTTTCATTTCCAAATGGAGTTGGCACACGTCTACACGGCAAAACATTTAAGTAATTTGGTCAGCAAATTCTCCTGACTTAAACCACAAAGATAATTTGCTGGGTTTTGTCAGGTGAGAGGCAAAATGAGAAGAGAGAGTGTCAACAATGCAAACGAGCTGGAGGCCACTATCAGAGCAAGTTGATTCCTTTATACCTCAGCAGAACAACAGGCTGATCATCGCCAAGCCACTATAATGCAGTCCTTTCTGCAAAGAAGACTCCTCTCACTGTCTGCATACGTTGGCTGACATTTGTGATTAAAAAAAAATGAATAAAAATAAAAGATTAATTTTTCAATTCAATATTTAATTCTATTTAATCACGCTGAGATGTATATATAACAGCTATTTCAGGAGAGATTTACAAACCAGTATTCATGTATTGCAGCACAGTTGGTTCTTTAAAGGGTTGCAAGTAAGGGTGCTGTAGCTAGAGGGAGCTGTAGAACTCCAGTAAAGATACAGACTATCTCAGAGATTACTGAAGATCCATGATGGATCTACTGATAAAACCTTTGAGTCACTGAAGATCTTAGACTGTACAGCTGATACAAACCTTAATTGAGCTTGCCGCTGAATTAAGAAATTAACAGAAAATACACTGTTCAATATTCAACAGCTTTTTGTAAATATGTGTATATATAAGTATTACACTATATATGTATATATATATATATATATATATATATATATATATATATATATATATATATATATATATATATGTATATATCTTTAAAAACTATATATATATATATATATATATATATATATATATATATATACATATGTATATATAGTTTTTAAAGACGTAAAGTTGATCCAAAACACTATTGTTAGTTAATAAGCTCACTTTAACTATTTTGCTATTTGATTCCATTGGCACGTGACATTTTATATCTATATATAAAACAAATAACCCATGAGCACAGGGATCATTTGTTGTTCTAACTTTCTGGAAATGTCGTCACCATTGTGAGTTGTCATTATTCACCCGGATCCCTCTTACGTCTTGCTGACGCCAGACCCTCTGTGTAGCGTTTGGGTGTTCCTGGTAAAATGCATTACCGATTCGGTGTTGGGGCTACTAACTTTTTTTTTCATTTTCTCATGACGGATTTATTTTACGAGGCAATTATTTTTATCCTATAATATAAATAAATAAAGACAATTAGTTTTTTAATATCTGGATACTTACTTTTTCAGGTTTAAAATTAACATCTGATTTTATTTGAGGTTAATTATAAAGCAGCTACAGAATTTGAAGGAAGAATATATTACTTAGAATTGCAAAGAGGTTAAACACTACAGATCTATTTTAAAAACAGCTTTTATAATAGGTCTATAAAGATTCTTTTTGTTACTGCACGTAAATGTAATGTATGTGATGAAACTAATTTCTATTAAAATGCAAATTGCAGTTGTCAATAACGATCAATTGATTGACCTATTGATTTGTTGATTGATTATAGTACATATTAGTAAATTATCGAAAATTTGAATCGAAAAAACCCTATCTGAGCTCTCAATTTGTCCATTTGGCTTTAAATTCTACTTTTTGCTGTTTTTATTTAGCTAGATTAACTAGACCGCAAGGCAGTGTTTCCGTGTTTTTCGAGGTTACAGTACTAGACATTTGAACTAGCTGTAAAATAACCTGCATTTAAAACGTCTGCCCATAAATCACAGACTTTACATGAGCTTGGCAGGAATGTGTCTTTTGCTTTGAAATAGCTTTAGGAATGTCTCAAAATTGCATTCCGCAAAAACTTAGCGTCTCTAATTAGTTCACATTTCCTGTCACTAAAGTTTCCAACGGTCCACAAACGCATCAAGAAGCTCCGCCCACCCAAACGAGCACGGCTTCCAACGACAATTCAGGATGCTACAGTGAAGAGGAACAAAAAGGCGACCTGACAGTGGTGTCTGCACTCCCTCCACTTTCTCCGGGGTAGTTACGGGATTTCAATGTTCAACCTGATCCTTGTAAGTATTCAGCGATAATATTGTGAACGTATTGTTTCTGGGTTTTTTTAACCAAAACGTGGGTTTTACATTTTTTTAGAGGGCTTATATAAATACGCACCAGAAGTAGTAATTTGCTGCTCTGATAAGGCAAACCACGGTTAGCTTAGCTTCGTAGCTTGGACAGCTGCAACTGTCGCCGCGTGACAGTTAAAATGTATTTTACAAAAATGAAATATTACCGGTTTGGTTGTTTTCTTTATTTGAGAGCTACGACGTTTAAATAAAGACGAACTTTTTGAGAGTTTATTTGGTTTATTGTTGCTCCCGGTGACGGTAAATTTCGGAGTTAGGCTAATCTGCTAGCTAATGTAGCGGTACTAGCTTGCTATTGTCATCACTATCAACGGGGAAACCTCTATCGGGTTTTGTTCCAATTGCTGGGTCACTTTTGACGTTACAAAAGTGTAATAGTAATAGATGGCTTTTTCCATAGTGTCATGGTGAAAGGTGATTATACCGTTTTATTATTATTATTATTTGTACATTTTAGCTAGCGGAGCAGCTCTAGCTTAGCAGACTGCTCTACGATCTATTTGGCCTTTAACCAGTGGGGTTGGTTTGTGTTTTTCAGTTGATATATCTGTAACACAGATCCCAGCTGTGCTTTTGCGAATGTCATATTTTCTGGGGCTTCGTGCTTATATAGACTGCCGTCATTAATTTTGACATAGTAGTCTCGAAACCCAGATGGCGACTGCCTTAACCGTTTTTTTTTTTTTTTTTCCTTCCCACGCCATGTGATAAATATTAAACCCGAAGCACTGTTGTCCCGTGTGTTCGACGCCGGGATCCAGGGCGTTGTTTTAACTAGGCATCCTACTTAGATCCACCTTTAAAAAGAGTATTTAAGGTCGTTTAAAATGGTGGGAAATTTTGCATTTTAAACGGTTACAAATTAGTTTTTTTTAATTGCATGTCGCCCATTTACGTTCTAATATGCGGAGGATTAACATTTAAAAAATAAGTGATGAAATGAAATGGCTATAATTTTAGTTCAGATATTTATTTTTTATACATTTGTACAATATATGTATAATCTTCTGCTTTAAACTCAAGCGATCCTTTAAAATGATACAATATTGTATCTTATGAGCAGAATCCACTGCAGCTTTTTTAAAAGAAAAAAAGCCAAACACTGTTTTCTCAGACCAATAGTTAAACTTCATATCTTTCCCAAACCTAGGCTTGTTAGATGTTAGAAAATGCACAAAACTCTAAATCTGTTTTGTTATAAATAGGGATAAAAAAAACAAAAAAAAACCCTTTGTACAGAAATAGTTGCTTTTGTGGAGATGTTGTGGCCTTTATGAAAGTAAACTATATTGACTGGAGCATAAAGTAGCGGCAGACTTTCTCATAGTGACATACCAACTCTACTCAACACAGATGCAGTACTATCACCTGTCTGTTTTAACAGTTTAATTGTATGTTCCTTTAAAAATGCTGCTAAGTGCATACTTAGGCCTGTTTTCTATTCCTTTCCTTGGTTTTTGAAAACAGAAAACACCCCACCATTTTTAGCCGAAGTAAAATGAGGAAATGCAGTTGGGGAGGAAGTTGACTTGAGCAGCTGTGACACTAAAGGCCCCTGCAAATTCCCATGGTTGACCAGTTTTTGATTTATGGCCTTGCGATCATTCCCGTTTTGTAGCTGGTAGTAAATTTCAGTTTGTGGTTGATACCATACTGAGGCTTTAAACTTCCCTGCCAACTTGGGTGGATAAGTGAATGAGTAACAGGTAAGCTAATTATACATTCCTTCTTATGAGTGAGTCACTGCAAGGTGACCCATTTAGCTTATAGAGGGGGGTAGGTTTGACAACTTGGGACATTAAGATCTTTTTATGCTGCCTTTTGTTGACATATGAGTTGTTCCGACCGTATCTATTCGGGGCAGCTAATTGAAGGTTTGTTTTTATGAAAGACCAGCATATCTGGCATTCTGGGTAATGCCAACTCAAGTCTTTATACGTGACTCATGTTTTAACACACAGGTTATTCCTTCTGGTGAGCTTGCTTTCAGCTAATTAGCACATGATGCACTTGCTAGTCTAGACACAGCATTTCTTTAACTCAATCTTTAAGAGCACAACTTTCATTCAGAGACTTTATATGGTCCCACATGATGAAGAGCGGATATCCTGAAGCTTTGAACTGAAGGTGGGGCCTTCTTTTTTTGATGTAAAGCAACAGGGTTTTCATTTTAAACCTTGTTTTGAGTAGCATCAACCAATTTCTAATAAAGTGTGCTTTTTTTTTAAATGTTATGCTTCACAATTTGATTGAGACTCAATATAAACTGGAGTGCCTAAATTCAAAGATGAGACACCACAGCAGGAGCCTGGGTTTTCTTTTTAATTTTTTATCAGTGGCTCATTATTTTCATTTGGAACCTGATATGAATCATAAATGTCCCTGGTAAAGAGTTAGTGCAGGGTTAATGCTGGGTTCCCCTGAAAATCAGGACAATCTGCTCATTGTAGAGCATTGTCCCTTTGACTGGGTTTCAGTACAGTCTCTGCTTGCGTTTAAACTGTTAGTATTACAATCAAATTATGCTGATACCAAGACTTTTAATGGATGTAGCAGCTATGGGATTTTTTTATTTTTTTTATTTGTGGGTGTGTCACAGGCTATAGTGAATGGGAATTAAGTTGGCAGCTGTGCTTCTTGGAAAGTATGTATACTCTGAAACAAAATGTGCTTTTCTTCTTGGCACCTCAAAAGCTAGAATAGTTTTCTGCTCCTTGTGTACACAAGCTGTAGCCTATTGTCTCTGCTCTGCCACATATTAAAGCAAATGAAGGAAGAAAAAAAAGCCCTGTTAGCAAACATGGATTGTTTTTTTAAATCTGGTATTGAAAAAATTGATCAGCTTAATTATGATTAATCAGTTATTGAAACAATCGTCAACTAAATCAGTAATCAATTGATCTGTAACTTGAGTAAAACATTAAGACCTTTAGCTAAAAGTGAAATCCACTCAAATAAGTCATTATTCCAAAATTGTAAAAAAATAAATCGATAAATAAATATTTTGCATTTCAGATGACAAACATTTTCTGTCCATTGATATGCTCTATCCTGAAGTCCTCAAAGGGCGCAGTTTTAGATTCATTTGGTTTAAATTCAGTGTAAATCGAATAAAGAATCGAGTGATCGATTGAATATGAAAATAGTCATTAGTTGCAGCCCTAGTTATATCCACGCTTTCTTCAGTTCTGAATGAATTTGCCTAAGGTATAGGGCGTGACGTTAAGACCAAATTATTGGTGTTGGTAATACTGAGATATAATTAATACTATATCAAAACACTTGTCAGCATTTTAAGTCGCTTTGTCCAAATCATTTTGTCTTTGCGGCGGGTCCAACTCAGCTGGTTGTGCTGTGAATCTCATTGCATTCAACCTCCCTTTTCTTTTTGCAAAATTTCTTGCTTAACATTTAAAGAGGTTGTGTTTTACATGTGTACAATACACTAAAGCAAGAGGGGAAGTTCTTAGCCTTGGTTACTGTAAGTGTGAAAGCTGAACCTCATGTACTGTAACTTGAGGCCAACTTATCAAAGCTGGTTACTGGGGGAGAGCACCACCTGTGTTGTTGCCTGCTGGCTTTTAGCCCATCTGCTCATGGTGATCCTGTGAGTATTTAGAGGTAGAGCTATCAGTTCAGTGTAGACTGGCTTTACATAGTTGGTATTTAACACTTGTTTTTAATTTCTTTTGTTTAGATTACAACTTTGCATAATGTTGGTGTGGTTAGGGGTTATTCTTGTACTGTTTGTTTTGTAATTCATGCTGAATGGGAGGCAGGGTGTCCTTGGCCACTTTTGACCCACTGAATAAACGAACTTATATAATTGTGCAAAAGTGGCCATGAGCTCTTTGTTTATGCTAGGGCTGCAACTAGAGCTTAAACAATTTATCGGATTATTGAAATAATCAAATAATTTAGTAATCGATTTATCATTAACTGGAGTATAGATATTCAAAAACATGCTTTTAGCTAACAGAGAATCCCACTTAGAACAGTAATTATATCAAAATTGTTAATAAAAAAACACATTTTTCGTTTAATGTTAAAGAAAAAGTTTTCATCTGTCAGTATGCTCTATCCAGAACTCAAGTGGAAAAGTTTTACTTTCACCTGGTTTGATTATGTCAAAACTCTTCTTTGTGGAATCTTTGGCTATCTGACTATTACTGTATTAATCAACAAATTAATCGATTAACAAAATATTTGTAAGCTGGAGCCCAACTAAAGAGAGTATATTGGCAGGACAAAAAGTTTTTTTTTTATCTTAAATTGAAGTGAATTGTGAGTCATGCCATGTTTGCCATAGTTATAGTTGGTTGTTGCCACAGCGTTCAGCTTAGGCGAAGGTACAGAATTCCTTACACTGACCATCAGACTACAGTATGGTTTATGCTTGGTGTGTCCTTTAGGCCTGCGTGGCGAAATTATGCAATTTTCCCTGCACTACAGCACCAAAGATGCCAGAATTTTCATCTGGAAGTCCAGATGTGGGGAAATGTCTAACTATGTGGACCAATCCATGTGAAAACATGGCGAACTTGGGGAGTGGCGGCCTAGTAGTTAGGGCATAGACCTTGGAATCCTGAGGTTGTGAGTTCGAGCTCCACTCCCACAGATATTCTGGGTATCTGAGCAAGACCCTTAACCTCATAGTGCATCACACAATGGCGGCCCACTGCTCCCCAAGAGGAGTTAAATGCAGAGGTAAATTTCTCCAACAGAGATCAATAAAGTTAAATTATTTTTTTATTGAACGAGTTGCAGCCCCTGCTGACAAGGGTTCGCAAATGTTCACATTCAGAGGCGTCTGGTGATTTAGCTCATAAATATAACTAATGTCAATAGATTGTGTAAAGAAATAACTGTCTTGATCGGCATGTAGAGGCTTTAATAAACTTGTAAAAGGCTGTGTTTTCTACTTC